CCATTCGCCTCGAAATCTGATTGGTTGTTTGGAAGCCAATAGGAATTCAGCTCTTAGAAAAATAGAGCCAAACACATATACTTTGAAAGAAATGATGGGGCACAGGGTTTTTTGAGGCGATGAGTTCGAATCTGAAGCCCATTCGCCTTGAAATCTGATTGGTTGTTTGGAAACCAATAGGAATTCAGCTCTTAGGAAAACAGACCCAAATTTTCATACTTGGAAGGAAATCATGAGGCGCAGGGTTTTCGAGGACGGTGAGTTCGAATCTGGGGTCCATGTGGCTCTAAATCTGATTGGTTGGCCGAAAACCAATAGGAATTTAGCTCTTGAGAAAACGGGCCAAAACTCTTATACCTCCAAGAAAATGATGCGGCACGGGGATGTAGAGATTGTGACCTCAACTCTGAGGTCCATTTGCCTCGAAGCCTGAGTGGTTGTTTGGAAACTAATAGGACTTCAGTACTTAAGAAAATAGACCAGAACACTTATACTTTGAAGGAATTGATGGATCAGGGGTTTTTTCGAAATGGTGAGTTCGAATGTGAGGTCTATTTGCCTTGAAATCTAATGAGTTGTTTGGAAACCAATAGGAATTGGGCTACTAAGAAACCTAGCTAATCAATCTTTGGTCGTTAGGAGAAAAGTCAGGTAGGGACTTTAGAGGCAATGAGTTCGATTCAAGGATCTAAGCACTGAATGTGGGTATAGGGTATGGAAGCGAGTGTCTTCTTCTGTTTTTATAAATAACAATGTTTGTCTGTCTGCTGTTTGTACATTTGATTTCCGTAATAACTAGCGCCATCAAAATTTCCATGATATACTCTTTTGTGGAGAGAAAAATTGAGAGTAGATTGGCGCGACAGGCAAGGAAAGGAAGGTAATCGAATGTAATGTCACCCAGGTTGTGAAAATTGGAAATTCTCTAATCTCTATCTCTAATGTACGATAAGAAAAATAATGTTGACAGGCTGCCCAAAGAGTGAGCATGTATTCGTACCATGAATATTCATGGTTCTTACAGATATACCGTTTGAATTCAAGCGTCTTCAATTTGCTGCATGTCTTTCCTTCGCGATGTCTATCGACAAGGCTCAAGAGTAATTACTTAAGGTGGTTGGCATTAATCTAGAGAGCCCTTGCCTTTTTCATGGCCAACTTAACGTAGCATGCTGAGGAGTTGGAACTGGGAAGAGTTTGTTTATTTTGGCCCCTGTTGCGAAAATCGAGAAGGTTCTGTATCAAAAAGCGTTGCAATCGAAGTTGTATTTCTGTAAACGGTCTTTTGTAATAAAAAAAGTCGATCAAACAAAAAGAACACTGAAAAGGATAGAATTTTTTTTTAAATTAAAAATGGGGAAAACATCAGTTGAAAAGGGAAAGTGATCTGAACATATTTTGCGATATCGAATTCCAATAATTGATAGGACATCATAGTGACGTCTTTTTCTAATATGTCAAGTATATATTATAAAATTATCATGACTACCATCGGGTATCTCCGCTAGTTATTTATATATATCATTTTAATCGACTTTATTATTAACATATCATTTTTTATTTTAGTTTTTTTTCAATTAAAAATTTTCTTTTTTGACTTCTTCTCAAATGAAGATTTCTTAAGAAATTTTTTTGTTTATTTTATTTAAAGATCTTTGAAATAAGATCTGAAACAAATTCAATTTTCGATAGTTCGATATAGAATTAAATTTAATTAAACATTTTATTTTGAGATTTATCAATATATTATTAAATAAAAATCATTTCAAATATTTTTTTATCGAATATATATATATCGATAACGTAGAAAAAAAAACCTATTTTCTTGTCAATATGATTATTAATCGATAAAAACGTAAATAATCGAATATATGATTAACGATTATTTCAAATCATGTTTAAAAATTTAATCGTTTAAAAGATATTATAGTTATGACTATGAACAATCGATTAATAAACATTTATGAATAATATAATTATAAATAAGATTTACAAATAATGATTATATTCATATATAAATATATATTCTTAATATACGATAGAAATATAAATATCTATTAAATATTCTGAGAATTTTCATCAATTATATTCATATTAGAAATTATATTTCATCATATTAAACGAGTTATTCAATCTATTCTACTTGTTTTTCTTAATTAAACTATGGAAAATGTTTTGTTGAAAAGATGATAGATTAACTGTAGAGTTTCATAAATCGAATATCTATTGTTCGAGTTGTTTATTATGTTAGAAATCGATATTTGTTGTCAACAAAATCAAACTAATTTGAATTATTTATTCAAAACGAATAAATATATAATAATCGAAATAATTTAATTAAACTAAATCTAATAAATTGAACAAAAAGATATAAAAAAACAAAAAAGAAAAGTGTTGTTTTTTTTGTTAAGGTTGTTGTTTAAATGATTTATGTTCAAATGATGGAAACATAATCGATAAATTATGTATGATGTAGTGTTGTTCATCGGATATGTGTCGATTAATAATCAAACAACATTTAAAAAATGATTTATATAAACGTTTTGATAAAAAAAGAAGATTTTTTTTCAATGAATTTAATTATTTGGAAACAATTCGTGATATAAATCGTCAATATGATGAAATTGTTTTAACAAATTGTATAATTGATGAAAGAATTTTTTTAGAAAATAAATTTCAAATTAAATGACTTATGTAATTCATTAAATGAAAATCGATATTCAAAAGCTTCTCAAAATCTAACATCATTAACAGCAAATCAACATATTACATCGAATGATTATCAAACAATTTCTTTTAATCAATATTTAACATCCATATATCAAGCTAATCAATTAATTAAATTATTATATTCAATTGTTCAACAACAACAAACTTTTTTAGATTAATTTTTTTTTCTTTTTCTTTTTTTATCAAATCGAACATAAAATAAATTTGTTTTTCTTTCTCAAACCTTCATCATGTTTTTTCATCATAAGATTTTCTTAGTGGAACTTTTAACTTTATCTTTTGCGTTTTTCCCCGTTCATACATTGAAAATAAAAAGCCTTTCGACAATTGAAACTAATTCGAAACCTATTTCAATTTGTTAATGTCACCTTTTTGAGCAGTGTAGCAGCGACTAGCTAGAAGTCAACTATGATAAGTTTACTTTCGGTAATAGACACAGAACAGTACTTAGCTAAATGTTACGTTAGAATCTATGATAAGAGAACCGTCAGATTTGTTTTACTCATATTGATTTGTATAGGAAAGAGACAATAAACCTGATTAACAATCAGATTTGAACTATATTTTAATAATAATTGTGTGTTGAGAGTTGATCGATATAGAATTGATATTATAGATTGGAATTAGATGTAAATCAAATAAATAGTTTGCATTAAAATGAACAAGAGACTTACAAGACAAAAAAAATTCTGTTAGAAATCGAGAGATAAATCCGATAGATAATTTTCGTGACGATCGATAATCAGAGATAAATAAATGAACTCATTAAACGATTTTAGATTTTTATTATTTCAACTAATAAAAAATATTCTCAAATTTATATTTTAGACAGAGACAATTATCATCACTATCTTTTTTTTTAATTAACTTAAACAAATAAATATTTATTTATATTTATATCAGACATTTTTTTTTTAAGTATACTTTTTTGATAAAGAAAAATAATTAAATTAAGAAAGAAATTTTTGTTTTTGGTTAAAGATGTTTTCTCGTTAAATGAGAATATATTGAATTAAATATCTATATGATATTGACATTTATTTAAAATGATCGTTGAATGATATATAAGATTTACAATTTTATCTAAAGACTCTTAAAAAAAGAACTAACTTAGATTTTAACTTTTTTAAGATTATTTTTTGTTTTCCTTTATTATGAAACAAATCATTGAATAAAATAAATATTTTCTCTTGATTAAAATATTATTTTCATTTCGAAATATTTTAAATCGAATCGAATTGATTTATGATGAGGTTTTTTTTATTTTGAACATTTTCTTAAGTTAAAATAATATTCGATATATATATATATATACGATTTTATTTTATCGAACATTTTTTAATAGTAATTAGTTAGATTTTCATATTTGAAATATGAAAATTAGAGTTATTTAGTTAATTAATATAATATATTATTTAAAAACGTGTCAGTTAGAGAAATAATGTTCGATTTGATAAAAAGAATAAAATAAAATTTGTTTATTAAAAATTTAGATGATCTTGTGGAACGTTTAAATGAATGTGAATATTCATTTAATACTCAATATGATTTAATAGAAAATGTTAATAAAATAAATCGAAAAGAAAATTCATCTCGATCATGTAAATCACGTTTTGATTTATTATTAAAATTATTTTATTATTCTATTGAAAATATCTTAACTATTGGAAAAAAACAGATTAATTTCAAATGAATTTAATTCACAACAAATTCAACAACCATTTCAATAAACGATTTTTCTTTTAAATGGATAAATAAATAAATAAATGGATTGTATTTTAGTAAATCAATATTAAATAATTATTAGTATTATATGCTCATTCGGATAAATATCATGATTTTAATTGGATATTACATGTTTATTCATTAGATGAGTATTCCGTTTTAAAAATCCTACAAATTTTTTTAAAAACTTGTACACAAATAAGTAAATCAAAATCATTTATTAAATATTTATCATCAATGACTTTTTCAACAAAATCCTCATTATAGAATGATATTGAATTAAAAGGTATTTTATCATATAAAACAATATCATCAATTCAATCATCAAATAAGACAAATGTATCAAGAAAATTATTTCAATCGAATACAACAGATCAATTAACAGTAAGATTTATTATTTGATATATTTAATACAATATTATACATATCAATGAATATGAGTTATTTTAATTGAAAAAAAAAATTATTTCCAAATTTTCATTAACGAAAATTTTTATATTGAAAGAATTTTGTTCATAAATATTTAAAAAACATGAAATATTTAGTCCGATCTAGTAACAAGAAAAATTGGTCCCTTAGAATACTTTATTTTTCTTTTTTTCTATATTTATCATGAAAAAAAAAACAATGAGAAAACATTTGATAATATATATCATCGATTTAAAAAGAATTTATTTCTTGTTCATAATCGAGCACGATGAAAATAAATTCATCTGAAATTCTATGAAATATGATAATTGTCGTCGATCTTTTCTAAAAGCTTGTCAAACAATGAAAATAATTCAATAAATAATAACCATTTTAAAGCCTGTCTATGGCGAACACTTGTTCTTTTTTCTCGAGTACACTTTTTGTAGAGAATATTAGAGAAAAATGACCATAATTCCCTATGGTGTCAATCTTTATTTTTAGACGTAGAACCCCTTGAAATTTAATTTAAGAAAGTGTTTTGAATGAAA